AATTACTCTGGGAATATTCACTACCACATAAGAAGTCTGACTACTCTGAGACCACTGTGCTGGGAGGAAACCCACGCTGGCCATATGGAGAGAGAGATAGCCAACACTCCAGGCTCCTGACAAGTGAGGGAAGCAGCTTCAGATAACTCATCCTTACCACCATCTGACAGCAATCAGATGAGGAATCCCTAGAAAAGAGTACAAACTAAAGCCTGTCATGTCCCAGGCTTGAGAAAGATAACAATAAACTGAGCTTTTAGGTCACCAAATTTGGCAGTGCCCCATAATGCAGCAATGGGTCACCAAAACATCCACCTTTCCTGGCTGTGTGACCCTAACTGGCTTCTGGGGTCAGCCTGGCTCATCCGGCTCTGTAACTTTCTCACTTGAGAGTGTATCTGTCACCTCCAGAGTATGTACATATTCCTGGAGCCTTCCCACATATGTCCCCTCCAGGCCTCCCTGTCACTCTCCACCCAGCCCCTTCCTGTCTTCCTTGGTGTTGCTTTCTTGCAGCAGACACTTCAGCAGCCTTTGCATATAGTCAGGAGCCTAAAATAATATTTGTCCCCTAGTTTTTCCTAAAAACACTGTATGTGAAATTTCCAGCCCATTTTTCATGTTGCTTTTGAATAACTTCCATGAAAAGAAAGGAAACACCAAGTTCTACAGCCACTTTCATGCCATAAGTCACTACCACATATTTTAGAATGGCTACCATTTCTTTAATGTGCCATCACCAATAACTTATTAATTGACATTTAGATTGTGTCCAGTATTTCACTATTACAAAGTAATGCTACAGTACACATCTCTGTACATATCCTTTTTTTTTTTTTTTTTTGCACATGAACAAATACTTGTGTAGGATAATTTTCTACAAATAGAAGTTTAGGATCAAGGGCAGTGGCCACAGAAGGTGGGAAGAGAGTTCAGTTCTACCAGGGCTGAAGCTCAAGCACCCCTCAGTAAATTCACTCAGACACCACTGGCCCACAAAATTGCCTGAGAGTTGTGTTGGCTGAAAAAACCAGGCCAGGCTGGTTTGGAACAAATCTGTATGCACAAGGGCTTTGCAGTCAACCTCCCTGGTCTCAAGAAGCAAGGCAACTAGGGAACAGGATGAGGTAAAGCAGAGAACACCACTAGGTGGAGAACATAGCAATCAGGGTGGAAGGAGCCACACTGAGTGTGAATTAAATTCCACTTCTATTAGCTGTGCGAATGGGGCAGATCAGTAAACCTCTCTGAGCCTTTTCTTCCTAATCTGTAAAATAAGGATAGTAACAGTACCTACCTCATGGTTGTTTTAAGGACTAAGAAATGTTATTTAAATCACAGTGTCTCTCACATAGTACATATTAATGTAACACAAAAGATTCCACTGCCCTCTAAATTTTATGCAATTAGAGTAGGTAGAGAGGGGATATCAAGAAAAGGATGGAAGGGCTGGGGATTTAGCTCAGTGGTTCCACCACCTCCCTCGCAAGCAGAAGGACCTGAGTTTGATCCCCAGTACCAAAAAAAAAAAAAAGGAAAGGATGGAAGAGATTTTTCCATTCTCTGCAAAAGCACATGGCTGAGAACAGAGTTGGATGGAGAGGAAGAAGAGAGAGAGTTGCTGCAGCAAGAAGGTGTATTTGCTCAAAGGGAATGTCTCCAGGGGAGGTGGGAGGACCTAGGGTTGCTGAGATGAGGTGGCGAGGAACTCCTGCTGAATACTAAATGTCTTTGTATATGAACAATATGAACAGTAGACACCTCAAAAGGCTCTGATCTTTAACTCCTCACCTCCTTAGGCATCAGAAAGATATGTAAAAATTGTCTTTCTTTGACCTCAGGGCCCCATGTATGGTTGCACAGGATGTCTATGTAAATGATCTCCCTTGTACTGTGCAGTGCATAGCCTGCACAACTGTATATGGCAGCCCTGTATGAACTCCACCCTCACATCCTTCTGTCCTACATGTGTACCATCTGTCCACCCATGATGTCATGTGGACCATAAGGTCCCTGAGGACAAAAGTATGGTTGTACAGTTTTGTTTTGGTTTTGGGGGTTTTTTAGCAGGGACAAAGTTTATCTGAAAAAGAAAAAGTGAAGAACGGAGGAGAGACTGGATCTGCAGAGCAAGCTTGGCCCAAGTAAAAGAGAAAAAAGCAAGATAAAAGGGCACCCTAGAGGACAGTGTGGGGAATAGTGAGGAAAGCCACGATAGCAAGCTCTTCATGGCATTGATGTTGCCTTTATGTTGTCTAACTCTCAAGGAAACCCTCCAGAAGTTCTGTATATGGGTCCTGAGAGGTGGTGCTGGGACCCCACACCTCAGGCAGTGTCAGGTCTAAGCTGTTCTATTGAAAACCTGCTCAAGTTCTCATGAGAAGTCCACATGCCGGGCTTTGGGAACTGTTCTGTGCATGTGTTCCTGGATCTTATAATTAACAGGTCACTCCTACTTCCCCAGACAGCTTTGCCACACCCTAATCTCCTGTCTCATTTTCCCCTGAGAGACACAAACCCCCATAATTCTTTATGCTGAGGGAGTGGAGGTCTCTGTCTTCTATAGCTTCTTCAAACTGGAAGGGGCTATAGGCCCTCCCTACTGAGGATTATGTGCTCTCCAAGTACCTTGGGGTACTGGGGCTCACTGGCTGGGTTGAAGAAAAAGAAAAACCTGTCAGAAAACAATGAGAAAAAAGTTAGTGACCATTGCATTGCCTGTTTGACAGGAGGAAGAAACTTCACTGTTAGTCCAAATATGAAGAACAGGTCAGATTTCTACACTTCCTGTAGCCACACTGGAGTCTTGCTTCTTGAAGAGAAATCTCAAGTCTTCCAGAGGCTCACAAGAGTAGCTTTCTCCTTTTGGGTTATCTTGTTCTCCAGACAGTTCAAGTAAGACTGGCTTTATTCTAGAAAGATGAATTCAATTATCTAGCTCTGCCACCTTTGCTGCAGTGGGTGTGGCAAGGATCACTGTGAAGGGGCCCTTCCATTGTGGCTTTAATTGGTCAGCAGGTGTCCCCTTCTGCCATGGCCTGTGTGGTAAGGGTCCAGGGTCTGAGTAGGCCGATGGAAGATGCAGAAAACAAAAGAGAATTAAAGCGTGACTGAGTAGGGCCTCTCTGCCTGCTGAGCAGAAAAGACCACTGCAAACTGGGTGACACTTTATTTAAGGAATAAGGAGGGGAAGTACAAACAAGGAGATGGGGGAGGGTGTCCTGGTAATTTGTTGTTCTAGGACATTCTGAGACTAGCTACTCTTAATGCTGGTGGGAACAGGGACACGCAAGCTTGCTGTTCCTAAGACCATGTCAACTAGAACTACAATAAACAGAGTACAAGGAGCATTTCCTTTCACTCCAGGCTATTTTGGCAGGGTAAATTGGGGCAAAAAGGGAGGGAAGTCATGAAGTGCAGGAGGTGGGCCATATGCCTCCTGATCATGGCAGCTCCTGACACCCTTCTCCAAGTTTTTATGAGCACCTGGTCTCCAGAATGGACAGTAGGTGGTTCCCCTTGGCCAGGAGCTGGCAGGACTCTATAGTTTTTATCCTTCCACAGTGCCTGGGACTCAGCTGGTGACCAGTAATTCTCCCTTAGCCACTCAGTGGGCAGTAGTTCTCACTATCTCCAGAACAAAGCAGCCTCCTTGACCCTGCAGAGAGCTCAGTTCAGGCACCTCACATCTCCACCAACATCTAGTTCCTAGCATTCAGCCCTTCCCTTGAGAAGGGTCCAACTCAAGTGTGCGGAAATCAATAGTGTCTCCAAGGAGAAGGTCTTCCATTTCACCCAGGGCTATGGTGTACATGCTGTGCACTGTGCAACCCCAGGGAATGGCTTTCTCATGGATATGATGAAGTAGGTGTGGACCCTGTTATCTAACCCCTAGCTGTGCTCCTGAGCTTCTGAGGCCATTGCTGGGCAACATTCAGTTTCAAGTGATTCCTCCCAACAGGCCAGAATCCCCCACCCCACAGGGGTTCACATCTTGGTCCCTGTTCTGCCCTATGCAGTCCTATACCCAAAGCCTAATAATCTGTTTTGACAAATAGGAAACTACCAGGCCTCTTCCAGGCTTCATGGGCTCCAATCCAGCCCAGAGGCAATTTTCTTTCTGACAGACCTGCTGCTTGTCCTATCCTGCAGTGAGGATGGAAGAAACAAGGCTGAGGACCACAATGCCTGCTTCTCTCTGCTGTTGTACACCCATGTGCCTGGCTCCCAGCTGAGACACAGGCCCAGTGCAAAAGTAGAGCAGTCAGGAAATTAGGAAGAAATTCTTGTATCCTTCTCAGCCAGTTTCCCAAGGAATGGAACCTCTCTGGAGCAAACTCTCCCAGGGCTGGTTCCCTCAGTGCTGCCTTTTGGGGAAAAACCCTCTCAGCTTCTGAGAGCCCATCTGCCATCCCACCCCTCTGCCATCCCAGCAGAGGATGGCAGATTCTTCCCTCTGGAGGCAAGCACTGCAGGGAGCCAGCAACATTTCCCCAGAACTCCTTCAGTTCAGGTCTAGGACAGGACAAGGGTCTCCCCAGCACAGGCAAGAAGGATGTGGCATCCTTATCTCCCATGAGGACCATGGATGGACACATCCTGTCCTGGAGATAGTAACCTGCCCTACCCTTGGGCTATGCTACCTGCCTCTGGAAACTAAAGGAGGTGACACTCAGCTCCTTTCACTCCTATGGGGTTTGGGGGTGAACAGTAACCTGATGAGCATGGGGCGAGCACCTTTTCTGAGGCATCAAGGATGAGCTGGCTGCAGGAGCTGAAGGGAAAAAGGGCTGGAGCCAGGTCAGTGGGACCCTGGACTGGTCCCTAGGGCCAGAATGTCAGGAGGCACATGGCTGAGGGCAAAGGAGATAAGCTCTGTCACCCAGAAGCAGCGAAGTGCCAAGGGAGGCATGTGAGTGGCATCTTGGAGGCAATAGAGGTCATGGTATTGGGGAGAGGTAGATAAAGCCAGGCAGATAAGGCACTAGGCTCTCTTCTCTTTGGAGCTACAACCAAAGAAACTGCTTACTCATTGCATAATCCTTCTATTTGCCCAGAGCTACATGTAGTCCAGAAACCCTGTCCTGTGAGGTCATTACAGAAGGCATCCAGAAAGGACTGGACAAGGAAGGGCAGCGGCAGGAGAACAAGGGTCCTCCAGGATGGAGGTACACAACGTGTCTGCCCCCTTCAACTTCTCCCTGCCTCCAGGCTTCGGCAAGCGCCCCACAGACCTGGCACTGAGTGTTCTCCTGGTGTGCATGCTCCTCTGCATTATGCTTGCACTGGGTTGCACCATGGAGTTCAGCAAGATCAAGGCTCACCTCTGGAAGCCTAAGGGGCTGGCTACTGCCATGGTGGCTCAGTATGGCATCATGCCCTTCTCTGCCTTCATGCTGGGCAAGGTCTTCCGGCTGAACAATATTGAGGCACTGGCCATCCTGATCTGCGGCTGCTCACCTGGGGGGAACCTGTCCAATGCCTTCAGTCTGGCCGTGAAGGGAGACATGAACCTCAGGTAGGACTAGGGGCAAGAAGGGAGCAGCTTGGGACAGGGCTACTGCGAAGATGTCAATTGAGGGGAAGAGCTGGGCTAAAGCCAGGAGGGTGGGAGAGTTAGGTGGATGCCAGCATGGGCTGCAGGCATTTAGTACCAAGAGCTTATGCTGGGCAGGGGCAGGTGCTGGGGTCCAGTTGGGTTTTAAGTACCAAGCTAAAGAGGCCAAGCTGGTTCAGGGCTTCCTAAACCCCTCGTCCTCCCAGAGCATCTCAAGGGGAAGAGAACAAGCATTATCTTACAGGAGCATTGATTTCAACCAAAGAGCCTCTGGATAAGCACAGCCCCTCAGGGAGAGAGGGGTGTCAGCTCTGAGGCTGGAGAGAAGAATGTGGGTGCAGTGGGTTCCAAACATTACCAGGTGAACCAAGGCGACTTGGAACCAAATGAGCATCTCCAATTCCTGCAGAACAGGCAAGAATTCCAAAAAGCTCCTCCAAAGTATGTAGGCCTCAAAGTATCTATGTCTCTTCTCTTTAAGCTCCCTCAGCCCCCAGGGTGCTTCTCATCAAAGGCCCCACCTGAGCCTACTGATAGGAGTAGGCTACCACACACACACCCCTGTCCACAGCAACCTGCACAATTTCAGCAGGGTTCTCTCTGGACAGCCTGCACACGGGGGCAGGTGGAACTCCTGTCCTTCCAAACAGGCAGGAACAGCCTTGAATGCCTGCTTGGGGGGGTGGGGGTCGCTCACACCTGCAGCAGCAGCAGCCTGTGCTAGGCCGGAAGAGAACTCACTAGCAGAAACCCTTGCTTTTGTCTAAGCCTCAGTCTCCAGCCAGTTCCCTCTGGGTCAGTCCTCAGTGGAGATGTTATTCAACCCAAGTAAAGCCATGAATTCAGAGTCCATCTGCTTGTGTCTGGGAGGGCCTGACCATGACTGAAGTTCACTGAGAAAATTAATCAAATAAAGAAGCACCTCTGGATGATACAAAGTGACACTGGGACAATTTTTTTCTTTTTCTTTTTCTTTTTCTTTTTCTTTTTGCAATGCTGGAGATATAACCCAGAATCTCCAGCCCCTACACGATTTTTTAAATTAAAAAAAACTGGGAAAGAGCATTGGGGTTTGCCAGGACCTGCTGTCTGAGAAGTGCTAGGATTTTTTTCACATGACTCAACCCTCTCTGAGGGAGTCAAGAGGAGAATAGGACAAAGCAGATGTGGCTTCTACAGTCTCATGGGAATATATTTCAACATTCACCCCTTCACTGTGAGGAAATTCTTCCCTCCATTTAATCCAAAGGGTTCCTGCTGCAGAGCAAGCCAGTGTTCTTTGATCTGGTCTGTGGACAAGGCTTGTGCTGCCTCTGCATCCCAAGGAACCCAGGCTGTAGCCCAGTTCTGGGCGAAGGATGCTAGCTAGACGCAGGGGTCAGGCAAGGGAACTCTGTGGAAGAAGCAGGGCAGGGAGATGATGTGGAGGATAATGGGTGCGTCTTTCAACTGTGACCAGGTGTCCTTGTAGTGCAGCAGTAGAGCCAGTAGTTCGGCACTCCTGTGGTTCAAGGTCCCCTCTGGGCCAGCCCGCCAATGACTCAGGAACATGCTCAGCCTCCTATCCAGGCACCTGGGGACTGTTACCTCTCCCTAGACCCACAGGAGATAACACTCTACTGGGACAGCTGCCTTCCATCATAAAACCCTTTCTGCACAAACCACCCTCTCAGGTACATTAAACTGGATCTCATTTCCCACGAGAGGAGCAAGAGTTGTCATTATCATGAGCTGCAAGACATCAAATTTCAGTCTGAGTTCATCTGGGACAAGTCATCGTGTGTATTATGGTAACAGTGATAGTAAGACTCTGTGCTAAACACTTTATCTGGATAATTACATGTGATCCTCAGCATCCTGGGAAACTGAGTTTTAGAGAGTAATACCTTTGCTCAGGTCTGGGTGGCACCAGAACCTGTACTCTGACTCAAATATCTTTAGGACCAGTCTAACAAGGTGGTCGGAGGCTGTCTGTCAGCCTCAAAACTACAAGCCCTTCTGATCAGGGCAGATGTGGGTGTTCCACAGAGGCAAGTCCACTGCTGTCATCACTTCCTACTTTCCAAGAGAAGGTAGAATCTCCATTTTTCTGTGAAATCTCTAAATTCAGCAACTCCTTCAAATTTGTCTGAAGAATTGTGCAAATCAAACAATATGAGCCTAAGAGCCAGACATCACTCCAAGGCCCAGTTTGAGGCCACTCCTACTGTGTCTGAGTCAGGAGGCATCAGTGAGATACTGGTTCCTTTTTATACACGAGGAAGCAGAAGTCCAGAAACCCACAAAATGTTTCTCAAATTTTGTGGGAAAGTTATGTCTAGAGCCAGCCCATGGTTTTCTCCCTTGGTTACTCTGACTCCTGCTAGAGTGAGTCAAGGCAGCCTGCCAACAGAGGTCAACAAGTAGGTCCTCTGAGGCATCCAGGTATGGAGGTACAAAGTGTCCTCCAAGCTGAGGCTGCACGTGGCAGGTTGGGAACAGAGGAGAAAGTGCCAGAGGGAATTGATCCTCCAAGCTCATCTGCTCCCCAACCCAATGGGCCCACAGCAGAGATCACACCCAGTGGCTGTGGAGAAAGCAGACTTGGATACAACTCAAAGATCCCCACAGGTCTCCCCACCATGACACAGGAAGACTAAAACCTGGACAAGATGGAAGCCTTTAGGGTTCCCAGATACTCCCCACCTCACCACAGTGACTGGTGGCTCCCTGACAGCTTCCTCAGCATCAGCCTCCAATCTCTCCATTGATGGAGGCTCAAAACCCACCCCTCAAACAGGGTACAAAAGCAGAGTCTATGCAGTGCTCTTAGAACTTAAGCAAGACAGCAAAATTTAAAACTCAAATGCACCCTTTTCCCCAAGAGGCAGCCATGCCCACAATGTCACCATGGCTCCAATCTTGGGAGTTAAGAGTCTGAAGCTAGAGTCACGTCCCATCCTTGTCTCTCAGAGTAAAATGAGCACCACAACACTCAGATACTACAGGTTAGGGGATGGATGTCACTGACCAGCCCCCAGAACTTGTGCACGTGGATCTGGGAACATGAACTCTGAGGGCAGGGCACACTAAGTCCCAGAGCAAACTCCAAAGCTCCTGACACATCAAGCCAAAGTAAGCACAATTGCTCTGCTGTGGGACAGCAAAACAAACACAAGTTGCAAATCATTCTCCTACAAAGAGTTCAATAGCTGCCACTGAAACCCGTGTCCCTGCCCAACCTCACTTCCCCCTACCACACCTCAAGGGGAGCACCTCCCAGGATTCGGAGTTCAGCATTTCTAGGGATCTTTTTAAACTATTAACACCTGTATATCTCCATCCAAAAAAACCAAAAGCTGTATTTGCATGTTTTGAAAATTTACATTAACCATTCATACTGACAACTTTGAGATAGGGATGGGATAAAATAGCTGCTTTGTCCATTTTGAACTGCTGTATGGTTTGCTTGTATCTATTCATTGTGTGGCCAGACAGCTCTGTGAGTCCATGCCCCACGTCTGTGGACAGTCTTGTGTAAGGCCTCCTTGTTCCCAGGTGACAGCTTATTTAGTAAAAGCAGAACCACTGGGTGGCAGGATTCTTACACCTTCAGCAAACATGTCTTCAGAGCAGTTGCTCCCCTTCACGCTTCCCGGAGCAGTGTGTAAGGATGAAGATCCCTGTTTTTCTGTCTTTATATTTGGAATTGTTAGACTTTTTAATCTTTGCCAATTGAAGAGTTTGAAATGGATCACAATGAATTTAAATTTCACTACATGGGAGGCCCAGTACCTTTTCTTAAGTTTATTGGCCATTTAAGTATTCTTTTCTGAAAATGTTACTGGCTTTGCCTGTTTTTCCATGGGTTTTTGTTGCTGTTGTTGTTGTATCTTGTAATTTGTAAAGTTGTTTGTAAGTGCTTCAACAACCTATCACAGTTTGGAGCCTGTATTTACACTTTGATAGTAGTATCTTATAATATGGTCAAATTCACCAATATTTTTCCTCAAACATTTATGGTTTTGGGTTTAAGAAATCCCTTACTAACTGCAAGGTTATGGAGATCTTCCTTATATTTTCTTTGAAAAGTTTTAAATTCTTGCTTTTCACATAGAAACCTCCCATGCTGTGAACTTCAGTTGTTTTTTTTTTTTTGGTACTGGGGATCAAATTCGGGACCTTGTGCTTGCTAGACAGGCACTGAATCACTGAGTTAAATCCCCAGCCCTCCCATGCTGTGATCTTGAGAATAAATTCCCAGCACCACTAAGTGAATTTTTCTTCAATAATTTGTAATGCTACCACTCTCATAAATCATATTTGTGTCTGGGATCTCTCTTATTGGTCTGGGTGGCTCCCCTTGCACCAGTACCACATCTTCTTACAATGACTCTGAAAGTCTGAAAAGTAAGTCCTTCTACCATATTCTTCTTGAAAATTATGTTAATTATTCTTAGCTTTTATTCTTTCATTTAAATGTTAGGATCAGTTTCCAAGTCTATAAAAAAAAAACTCAGCTGGGTGTAGTGCAACATGCCTGTAAATCCCAGCACTCAGGAGGCTGAGGCAGGAGGATCACTATGAGTTCAAGGTCAGTTTGGGCTACATAACAAGTTCAAGGCCAGCCAGAACTACATAGTGAGATTATCTCTTAAAAAAAAATTTTAAGAATTCTGAAATTTTAAATTTGCTTTACATTATCAAAATGTAAAGGTCATTTTTAGAATTCTGGGTCTTCCCATACATGAAGATAGTACATAGCTTTTCTTGCACTTAGCCCTTCTTTTCTATCCACCTATGAAGTCTTACAATTTCTTCAGTAAAGATCTTGCATCTCAATCAGGCACAGGGATGCATACCTGCAGTCTCAGCTACTGAGGAGATAAAGGAGGATCACTTGAGACCATGGTTCAAGACCAACCTGAGCAACATAGGAAAACTGTCTCAAAAGACAAAAAATAAACATATCTTTTAGATTT